AATGGATAAAAGGAATCTTTCAGGCTGTTTTGGAAGAACTTCTCTATTATAACTAAAAAAACGTAAAGAACTATACTGGAACAGTGCTACTACTGATAGTTATGGAAACTTTAAGCATTCAGCCGTATAAATAAGTTAGAGAATCTTCTCGAAAACGTAAATACCAACAGGAAGTTCATTTTTCCAGAATTTAATTATTAATCAACACCAGATGTATTAAGTATTCGCATAAAACAAAAAGAAATCATTATTCCATTTACTCAACTAGACTTTCAAAAATTTATAATAAAAGATACGCTGAAAGTCAACTTGCGAAGAAATTCAAAACAAAATAATGCCAATAAGTTTTATTTGATTTTATTTCTTGAATTATACTTTCGAAAATATATAATAAACTCTTAAAAGTCACCTTGCGAAAAAAACCAAAGCAGCGGTGACAATAAGCGTTTTATCTGACTTAATATAAAATTTTACTATACGCATATTTAATGCACATGAGATACGTTTCTGTCTTTAGGCTTTCATGTTTATTGTTAACTGGGGATGTGCATCACGAGATTTTCTGCTTACAACAATATGCTAAAAAGCAAACAAAAAAGTCTTGCATCTGAAATGAGCAAAAGAAAACTTGATGAAACTTTATGCACCTTTCATATAAAATGGCTAAGCAAGACTGATGTATTTTTCTTATAACGTTTTACTGAGAAGTAATTAGCTGTAAAAACTGATATGTTCCTGTATCATGTATAAAGTAGAACGATCTTGTTAAGGGCTTCCTACAACAAATTATATTTCCAAAGAAAATAAGCTACTAAAACTGAAAAATCACTAACTCTTTCACTATCTGGTTAATCTCTGAATTGAAACTTTGAGTAACACGTCTTTCATTTGTCATTCAAGTCAAAATTCCACCAGTGAAATAATGTATACTACTCTATTATATAACTTGGTAATATTATAAAGAAAAACGTACAACTAAATAGCGGCACGTTCTAGTCTTCATTTTAGTAGATACCAGAACAAACTACTATATATATTGACTCAATATTTTTATTCATATCAGGAATTCAAAAAAAAAAAAGAATTTAAAAGTAGATCTGAGTAAGTATGTTCATTTTACTCGACATTTCAACAGAGAAATGCAAGGGTAGATTTGAGAAAACTTCTTCACATTACTCAACATTCAAATAAGAACCATAAAAGTGGATCTGAATAAGTATTTTCATTTTACTCGACATTTCAACAGAGAAATGCAAGGGTAGATTTGAGAAAACTTCTTCACATTACTCAACATTCAAATAAGAACCATAAAAGTGGATCTGAGTAAGTATTTTCATTTTACTCGACATTTCAACAGAGAAATGCAAGGGTAGATTTGAGAAAACTTCTTCACATTACTCAACATTCAAAAAAGAACCATAAAAGTGGATCTGAATAAGTATCCTCATTTTACTCGACATTTCAACAGAGAAATGCAAGGGTAGATTTGAGAAAACTTCTTCACATTACTCAACATTCAAAAAAGAACCATAAAAGTGGATCTGAATAAGTATCCTCATTTTACCATCCTTTCAAATATGTAACTGTATATAAATAAAAATACATTTTCATTTTACCATTTATTCATACAAAGAACTGTAAACACCTCCTACTTCCCCAAACTATTTTTGTAATCACTAGCTGTTTGATAAAATTATAATATCGGAATAGCTCAAATGAAAGGCCCACGTTAGGTCAGACTTCTTTGCCACCATTCCCACCTAAGCCTTTCGTTAAATAATGCTCCTGGTCGTTGATGGGAAATATTATTTTCAGCAAGCTGTGCTTTTTGTTTTTTAATACTAATTTATAATATTAATGAATCGTCTGATTTCACTAGGTATTGCGGTGTTCCTGCAAAAATTTATGTTTAATGAAAAAGACTAAAACTAGGCATAACTTACGAACAATTGTTTAAAAAATGTTTATTCCGTTACACGATATACTCATACGAACAAAATAGCTACTTCGTTTCTCGTTCTATTGTCAGGATTTTCTTATGTGAATTGTGATAATCGGCTTTGAACAAACAATTACACCAAAGAAAGAATTACAAAAAATTGAAAATATAAAAAAAAATGGTTGAAATCGCTTTAATTAAAGAGAATAACATGGTCAAAGTTTAAGCCATACGACCTTAGGAAGGTTGTTTGGCCAAAACATTAATCACTTTTCGCTCTTTATTCCAATTTTAACCATTTCTGAATTTTTACATTGATCTTTGAGCTTCCTCAGTTGTGGCAGGGTGTTCAAAAAAGAAACAGCCGTATGAATTCTCATGCATGGAGGAAGAGGTTGAACCTAACCCTCCCAGGTCGCGCACAACGACCAAACACTGACAAAGATCAGACTCCTGCATATATGGACAATATATACTATTCAAAAAATGCATCACAGAAACAACAAGTGATAGACGTAATAGGCCTAAAATTTGTGATAAAAATCACGTTAACTGAAAATATTTTTTCTTGAAATCGTACACACCTCCTATTTTGAGTCCACAATGGGCAAATGAAAAGGACTGTGGAGAAGAGAAAAACATATACGGATGGCGTTATTTTTATCACAAATTTTATGCCTACTGGTTTCTAATGCTTCGTCAGCTATCTGCGTTTAAACCGTAATATTTATTGAAGTATTTCAAGTAATAACAATAATGCAAATTCAATTGTGTAATGTTTAAGTCCCGATTCAATGGGATATGGTCCTGTGTACCGAACATGAAAATCAAATCCTTACTCCAAAAATTCTTTGATTTAAAAATAAGAGACAACATTATATATTACTATTAGTATTACAAAAGCCAATCTTTACATCTAAAACTAAATTGATGAGTAGTGCTAACTTGATATAACATCAATATTTATATCTTTTAAGTTTCTATAATAATTTACATAAGTACAACGCCTATACTTACATTTCCCGAGTATCTATCTGCAACAACGCACAAGAAAACAGTATTTATAATTACATTGGTTTAAATCACAACACCAGTACATATTAATACGGCTAATGTATTTCAAGGTGTTAAGTTTCCACGTCGGTGTTCATGAATATAACATTTACACTTATAGTCTATGTTTTAATGCCAGTTTGCAATAAATAGTCGGTCCTATTGGTAAGCTTTAAAATGGATAAATGTTAATGATAAAACCAATGTTCAGGAATACAACACTTATGTGTACACTTTTACAGTTGCAGGGTTAACCAGCAAAATACGTAAATATAACACTTTGACCTACATCGTCCTATCTCAAGGTGATCACAACACTTGTTTTTAAAGGTTTTAAATCTGAACACTATTGCAAGTTTTTAAAATAACACTTATAACTGTTGAGCTTTAAAAATAATACACATGACTATCAATCAACACACGTACTCTCCAAGTTAGGTCTTAACAATTATGAACATATCTGCATTTGAAAGTTAGGCCTAAGCACTATAAACACTTCTACTTACATTTACAAGTTACAGCTATACTTACACACGTTGAAACTTGAAGTCCACCACCATGCAATAATATATAACAATATTTACAAATTGTGAAATACTTTTAATTTTTCATCTTATTAAAAATGTCTTTTCTGGCTCTTATAATGTCACCTTCAAATTTCCAGACTAACAACCCACAATATTAATATACTGGTCATTTGATGGTAGAATCTCCCAAAACATAATAAAAGTCCATAAATTAGGTTGACCGTAATAGTGATATATTTTAAAATTTTCATAAACAAACTATTCAAAGCAGACAAAAGCTAGTTCAAGTGTCATTTATGTTTGTTTCTGGTTCGAACCCCATACAGATTTTATTAATAATCTATTATTAAGCTTCATCTTAACATCAATAGCCAGTTATTGTCTACTATTATATTTAATCTTTATCTAAAAATGAATTTTATATATACAACACAAAATCATTTATGAGCTTTTAGCATAGAACATTTCAACTTAAAATAATGTAAAACAGTAATTTGAGACAAGAAGTGTGGAAACTTCTATTGCTCAAAATGTTAGTAAAATGTGTTTATGATAAGAAGTGTGAAAGATTCTACAGACCAGAATGCTTGTAAAGTGTATTTATTATAAGAAATGTGGCAGCTTCTACTGCTCAGATGTTAGTAAAGTGTGTTTATGATAAGAAGTCTGAAATTTTCACTTCCCAGATTGTTAGTCAAGTGCTTGCGATAAGAAATGTTGAAGATTCCACTGCTCAGAATTTTAGTAATTGTTTTTAAGACAAAAAAGTGCAAAATATTCCACTGTTCAGGATGTTACTAAGGTTTGTTTAAGATAAGAAGTGTGGAAGATTTCAATTTCAAGAATGTCAATGAAGTGTGAAAGATTCTCCTGTCTAGGATGTTAGTAATGTATTTTTAAAAGAAGAAGTGTGGAAGACTTCACTGTCTAGAATGTCATTAATGTGTGTTGATGATAAAAGCGTGTGAAAATTTCCACTTTCTAGATTGTTATTAAAATGTGTTTAAAAGAATTTGAAAGGTTCCACTGCCCAGTTTGTTAGTAAAGTGTGTTTATGATAAGACGTCTGAAAAATTCCTACGTCCAAAAAGTTACTAAAACATATTTATGCCCTAACACGAGTTAAAAAGGTTTTTACTGCCATCCATAGTTAGGATATTCAACTAAAATGTTTGGAAAGATCTGTTATTTAATACATAGCTATAGTACGTTTAAGCTGAATGGCAAAGTTTTTGACTTATTAGACTTAACCATTTTTCCACTGTCATATACGTTTTTAGTTTATATGCTTAACAGAGGAAGAAATGTAGATACTTTCTGTATTTTTTCAGGCTTATTAAACACGTCTGTAACGATTAATTAAAATGAGTTTTTGATATAAATTCTAGAATACCCCATTCTCTTAAAAATTATTGTGATAAAAATATATCCATATAACCATTTTTCCACTGTCATATACGTTTTTAGTTTATATGCTTAACAGAGGAAGAAATGTAGATACTTTCTGTATTTTTTCAGGCTTATTAAACACGTCTGTAACGATTAATTAAAATGAGTTTTTGATATAAATTCTAGAATACCCCATTCTCTTAAAAATTATTGTGATAAAAATATATTCTAAGTTTCGCCAAAGTTTTGTGATTCCTAATTTATCCCCTACCAAGAAAGGAGCTATAAAATGGAAATATGGTAAGAACGTGGGTGGAGTTATTCACATCCATTTATACTCTGCTGATATCCAATAAAAAATTAAGACTTTCTTTTTTTTAACATAAAATAAATTCGATTTTTACTTTAATCATGCTAATGAGCCCGGAAGTAACAGACATTTTATATTAGTTCATAATGACAAACTTTGATACGAACTGATGACTTATACATTTTTTTCATTTCCTACAAAGTAGTATAATTAAGCGAGAATTTTTGAAACTGTTTTTGTGTTGCCAACTTGAGCCAGAATTAACTGAATGCAATGTATACTTTCATACTGTAGTAGCTGTAATTTGGTAGACTTTCAGCTACATTTACTGTAAGTAGTTAGCTCTCGTCAGCATTTGCGGCAACTTTTCCAGGATTTCTACTAAATTTGTCGTAATTTTACTAGAGTTTCGGTAAGTTACTAGTTCTTGACTAAATTTGTTGTAATAATATTTGGCTATATTTTTGGGTGAGATGGCACGTTTGTGGTAGTTCTTTACTTAAAAGAGACACCGCATCTAACTCAACAGGCTTTTGTTTACTTCCGCGACAAAACACTTGCATGACAGCTGGATATTAAGGTTAGGCCTTGTTGTCTAGACTTACTGGGAACTTTTTTTTAACCAGGCATCACAATTCAGTCTCTTTTTCCTAGCCCAAAAATCTCCGTAGTATGCCCGTCAACTAAGGGTACTGGAAGGCTTTTAGTACTTGGATTTAAACTAAAATTATATTACATATGGATAATTCCAGAGTTTCGTTGCTTCCTGTGGTTGAGAGTATATGTTGGGCAAATTTGACATTGCCAATGATAAGTTTGATAACCAATAATCTTTTTGTTTTTTCAACACAGAACGCGATCTACAAAAAAGGTGAAGGAGAACTCATAAATATTTTTAAATATTTCCTTCTTCGCCACCATAAACATGTCGTTTCAAATATCCTCAGACATATCGTCTTCCTCACGCACGCAAAAAAGCCACTTCTCCACCGTGGTCACTTTATGAGGAGCGATCCCATAAAATTCACGTAGTTCTTCTGCAGGAAACCATGCTGGTTCTTCATCTTGAAGAATTCGAATGCCAAGAACTCTCAGAAAGGCCACCAGGGGAATCCAAATGGCTGCCATCAAAATTAAAATGGCGATCAAAATATGTGCCCAGTATGGCCATTCCATGTGCAACGGAGAAGCCTAATGAAAAGACGAACATGTCAGTATTAACCATTACTGTAAATTGTCAGGTTTGATAGAGCAAAGTGTTTAAGAAATAAACTTTTTAGCTATTTTTTATGAATAATTCTTGTATTGCAGATATAGTCGTGTAAAAAACAATATAGCGTCGGAAACAAAAAGTGGGGTAATGAGTTGGAAGTGAATCACACTTGTGAAGTGCATTCCATGAAAGCAGATGGGAACTAAGGAGTTCGAGAGCATACTCCCTTGAAAAAGTTTTATAATGAATGTGAAAATTAATGTGATTGAACAGTACAGATTTGACGTCATATGATGAGCGCGTAACTTAACGTCTGGGGTTTTCTCCAAAGTTTTAGAAACCTTTTGGTAGTATAAAACGCGAGTTAGACGAGTTAGACTAGAGTAGGTTATTCCTGATTTTTGTGTCGGTTCGTAAGTTACAGTTAATCTGAAGTTATGAGTTACTATTTGATTGAGCTTGTTAGTTTAATTATTTAATGAAATTCTACTAATTAGAAAAAAACAGACGAAATTAATATGAAAATGAGCAGTTCAATATAGCATTTACGTAGTCTTCTATTTTTATCTTAATATATTTATTTTATTTATTCGGCTCTTTATTCCCAGCTTCCAAATTCACTTTAGAATTTTTTTTATAGTGATTTATTAGTTTGGATCAAAACAACAACAAAATTTATATTGGGCATATCACAAACTTATCGAAAGTTATATGGAGGAGTGATGTGGGTGCTTTTCCTCTATTTTCCCTGTTCCTACCCTTATGAACAACTAGTA